CCATCTTGAGTTGATTTTTGTAAATAGTGAAAGGAAGAGGTCAAGTTTCAATCTTTGGCATATGGTTAGCCAGCTATCCCAGCATCACTTGTTGAATAGGGAATCTTTTTCCATTGCTTGTTATTGTTGACTTTGTTGAAGATCAGATGGTTGTAAATGTATGGCTTTATTTCTGGGTTCTCTAACCTGTTCCATTGGTCTGTGTGTGTGTTTTTGTACCAGTACCATGCTGTTTTGGTTACTGTAGCCTTCTAGTATAATTTGAAGTTGGGTAGTGTGATGCCTCTGGCTTTGTCCTTTTTGCTTAGGATGGTTTTGGCTGTTTGGGCCCTTTTTTGGTTACATATTAATTTTACAATAGTTTCTTCTAATTCTTCCACAGCTTGCCCTTCCTTCCTTCCTTCCTTCCTTCCTTCCTTCCTTCCTTCCTTCCTTCCTTCTTTCCTTCCTCTCTTTCTTTTCTTTCTTTTCCTTCCTTTTCCTTCCTTTCTCTTTCTCTTTCCAGGACAGGGTCTCACTACATTGCACAGGCTGGTTTCAAACTCCTGAGCTCAAGCCGTCCTCCTATCTCAGCTGGAGTGTTGGGATTACAGGTGTGAGCTACTGCGCCATACCTACAGATACTTCTGTTTCAGCTGTGATGCCTCGCATTTCCAAGTAAAAGACTGCTTTCCCCCCACTTTTTATTTTTAACATCAAAACTTTCATGGAATTCTCCTATATGATATTTGCTGTGCTCTTGAAAAACAGTTACTGACTAAAAGGGACTAAAAATTCAGTGACTCTCATGAAGTTTACATTTTTTTTCTGTGTAACATTTACATATATTTAAAAAATAACAGACAATGTATGTTCAAGCCACGTTATGTGTTCACCTTACCATCTGTGCTTATGGTGTCTATGGATTCATGAACTCTTTGGCTTTTTGGTTTTTTTTTTTTTTTTTTTGAGACGGAGTTTTGCTCTTGTTACCCAGGCTGGAGTGCAATGGTGCGATCTCGGCTCACCGCAACCTCCGCCTCCTGGGTTCAGGCAATTCTCCTGCCTCAGCCTCCTGAGTAGCTGGGATTACAGGCACGTGCCACCATGCCCAGCTAATTTTTTTGTATTTTTAGTAGAGACGGGGTTTCACCATGTTGACCAGGATGGTCTCGATCTCTTGACCTTGTGATCCACCCGCCTCAGCCTCCCAAAGTGCTGGGATTACAGGCTTGAGCCACCGTGCCTGGCCCTTTTTTTTTTTTTTTTTTTTTTTTGAGACAGAGTGTTGCTCTGTCGCCTCCAGGTAGAGTGCAGCAGTGTGATCTTGGTTCATTACAACCTCCACCTCTTGGGTTCAAGTGATTCTTGTGTCTCAGCCTCCTGAGTAACTGGGATTATAGGCATGTGCTCCTACACCTGGCTAATTTTATATATATATATATATATATATATATATTTTTTTTTTTTTTTTTTTTTTTTTTTTGAGATGAAGTCTCACTCTGTCACCCAGGCTGGCATATAGTGGTGCAATCTCAGCTCACTGCAACCTCTGCCTTCTGGGTTCAAGTGATTCTCTTGCCTCAGCCTCCCAAGTAGCTGGGATTACAGACTTGTGCCACCATACCTAGCTATTTTTTTTTTCTTAAATAGAGACAGAGTTTCGTCATGTTGGCCAGGCTGGTCTCGAAATCATAACATCAGATGATCTGAGGTCTTGAACTCTTGATCTCAGGTGATCTGCCTGCCTTGGCCTACCAAAGTGCCTGGATTACAGGTGTGAGCCACCTCACCCAGCCTCTTTGTATTAACTCAAAGCCCACTCTTAGAGGGGAATGAACAAAGAGAAACTAAAACCTATACCTCTTCCCATATCCCTCAGAATTAATGACTCCCTCTTCCTTTCTGCATGCATCTTTTATGGCCTTCTATGATGCTTGCCATTTATGGATTTGTATGTCTCTGCTCATGGTCTATAAGCTCTAATTTATCATCATATCCTCCAAGCACTTAGCACAGTTATTTTGTACATTATAGGCTCTTGAAGATATTTACGGTAAACTCTCCAAAAACTTCTATAGGCCAGACAGATAAATGTCTTCTTGAAACCTGGTCTTAGAACATTTAGATTAAGAAAAATTTATCTACTGTGTATATACATATGTCATGTTGAAACAGTCAGTATTTTTTTTTTTTTTAAGACAGAGTCTTGCTCTGTCACAGGCTGGAGTGCAGTGACACAATCTTGGCTCGCTGCACCCTCCACCTCCTGGGTTCAAGCGATTCTCCTGCCTCAGCCTCCCAAGTAGCTGGGATTATAGGCATGTGCCACCATGCCCAGCTAATTTTTGTACTTTTAGTAGAGACAGGGTTTCACCATGTTGGCCCTACTGGTATCGAACTCCTGACCTCAGGTGATCCACCCATCTCGGCCTCCCAAAGTGCTGAGATTACAGGCGTTAGCCACTGAGCCCGGCCCAGGCAGTAAATTTGTTTTTATTTTTATTTTTTGAGACGGAGTCTTACTCTACCGCCAGGCTGGAGTGCAGTGGCGTGATGTCGGCTCACTGCAACCTCTAACTCCCTGCAACCTCCAACTCCCTGATTCAAGCGATTCTCCTGCCTCAGCCTCCTCAGTAGCTGGGTTTACAGGCACATGCCACCATGCCCAGCTAATTTTTAAATTTTTAGTAGAGATGGGTTTTCACAATGTTGGCCAGGATGGTCTTGATCTCCTGACCTTGTGATCTGCCCACCTCGGCCTCCCAAAGTGCTGAGATTACAATTTTTATTATTCTGCATCACATATGGTATGAAGAATTCAGTATCAGTAGCAATATCCCCGGAATATATATATATATATATATATTTTTTTTTTTTACCACGACCACCACTTACTTTTTCCTTGTGGTTTCCTAGTTATTTTAGGGAAAAGGAAAACCAAGGGAGAAAAATATGTCCAACTTCTATGTTTTAAGCCTAGTTTTATGGAGCATTGAGACAGGCAAGGCAAAGATTTATGAACTGAAAGAGTGTCTGCTTCCATACGATGGTGACCGTCTTCAGGGCTGTTCACGCCTTGCTTCATTTTTAGGTAGCATGATGTAGATGAAATTAGGCTTTGGGCTGGACGTGGTGGCTCACGCCTGTAATCCCAGCATTTTGGGTGGCCAAGACAGGCGGATCACCTGAGGTCAGGAGTTTGAGACCAGCCATGGTCAACATGGTGAAACCCCATCTCTATTACAAATACAAAAATTAGCCGGGAGTGGTGGCATGCATCTGAAGTCCCAGCTGCTTGGCAGGCTGAAACAGGAGAATTGCTTGAACCCGGGAGGCGGAGGTTGTAATGAGCCAAGATTGCACCACTGTACTTCAGCCTGGGCGACAGAGCAAGACGCTGTCCCTCCCGCCCCACCCAAAAAAAAAGAAATTAGGCTTTGACAGACTGAGTCACGTTCTGTGAACAGTGTTGGTGTAGCTCATTTTGAGCAAACGTCCTGTGTGTCTTATTAAAGAAAGATAGGAAGCCAGCAGCTGAGCTGTGAGTACTGTGCGCAGTGACTGGTTTCCTGTAGATGGGCATGCAGCTCAGTTACTGCTCTGTTTGATGCACTGGGCATCGCTTTACTTAGGCGGGTTCTGACCACTGTTTCACAGGGCCAGAGACCTGTCTTGTAGAAGAGAGATTCATCTGGGGCAGAGGTACAGGAAGATTGATTTCAGTTCAATATGAGAGAGAACTTTCTAAAAGTCAGGCCTCTCCAGAAGGCCAGGCACAGTGGCTCATGCCTGTAATCCCAGTACTTAGGAGGGTCAAGGTAGGAAGACTGCTTGAGCCCAGCAGTTCAAGACCAGCCTGGGCAGTGTGGCAAGACCTTGTCTCCACACACAGAAAAATAATTTTTAAAATTAGCTGGGTGTGGTGGTGTGCATCTGCTGTGGTCTCAGCTACTCGGGAGGCTGTGGCAGGAGGATTGCTTGAGCCTGGGAGTTTGAGGCTGCAGTGAGCTGTGATGGCGCTACTGCACTTCAACCTGGGCTGCATAGCAAGACCCTCTCTCTAAAAATAAAAATAAGCTGGGCGTGGCAGCTCACGTCTGTAATCCTAACACTTTGGGAGGTGGAGGCTGAGGTAGGCAGATCACTTGAGGTCAAGAGTTTGAGACCACCCTGGCTAACATGGTAAAACCCCATTTCTACTGAAAATACAGAAGTTAGCTAGGTATGGTGGTGTGTGCCTGTAATTCCAGCTACTCAGGAGGCTGAGGCATGATAATCATTTGAACCTAAGAAGTGGAGGTTGCAGTGAACTGAGATTGTACCACTGCACTCTGTCCTGGGAGAAGAAATGAGACTCTGTCTCAAAAAATAAAAGAAACTAAAACAAGTCAAATAAAAAAAAAATAAAAGTTATCTCCCTTCCTTACTAGAGGTGCTTGGGGAATCTCATTCACAGGAATTCCCCCTAAATGAGTTCCTGGACATATCACATAATTACTCTTGATTCTTTCTAGCCAGGAGGCTTCCTACCCAAAACACCCATCCTGCCCTGTTTCTAAAGAGAACAGAGAACCAGTGTTAACTAAAATTTTTGTGTGTTTACAGTATGATATGATTATGCCCATTTTACAGATGAGAAAAGCAGATTCTTGTAGAGGTCAAGATGGTCAAAGCTTCTTACCTTGTAAGTGGTTGAATTGGAATTTCAGCTATATCTCAAGTTGCTGGGCCCAAAACTTGTAGAATATTGACATATTTTATTAGTTAAAAAAATGCCTCCAGGTACAAGCATTGCTGGCGGAGGTAATGAGCTCTGTGTGGAGATGTGTTTACACACAGTCTAGGTTAAATAACTGCTTTTTGGGATGTTTTAGAGGAGATTCAGACGTTAGCATTGTTGGATGTCATGGTATTTAAGGTCTTTTCCAACTTTTTGATGTCATCATCAGTATTTTGTTCAAATCTAAAAGACACAGGGTGTTCTCCCTCATCTTAATTAAACAATTATTTTATTTCAGTGAAGAAAATATTTGGAAGCTCTGTGAATACATCAAAAACCATGACCAGTATCCTTTAGAAGAATGTTATGCTGTCTTCATATCTAATGAGAGGAAGATGGTAAGTTGGTGAGTGATTGCAGAAAGAAAATAAGAGATTTAGGATGATATTAGAAGCTAAATAATAATAAAAAAAGTTAAATATAGCATGGGTGTAGTACTCTTCTGAAGTGTGCTTTATAAAATACAGCAACATTTAAAAGTTTGCTTTTGACTGAGATTTTTTTCCATACAAGGCATGATTGAGTTAGAAGAATTGAGTCCCTTCTGTTGCCCAGGCTGGAGTGCAGTGGTGCAATTCTCAGCTCATTGCAACCTCTGTCTCCCAGGTTCAAGTGATTCTTCTGCCTCAGCTTCCTGAGTAGCTGGGACTATAGGCATGCGCCACCACACCCAGCTAATTTTTGTAATTTTTAGTAGAGATGGGGTTTCGCTATGTTGGCCAGGCCTCAAGTGATCCTCCCACAGTGCTGGGAGTATAGGCATGAGCCACCATGCCCAGCCTAGTCCCTTACTTTAGGTAAGGAAATAAGTGATGATCTACACAGATTTAAGTCACTTTTCTTCAGGTGTTACTGTAGGCCTGTGTTTTTTTCTTTCTTTTTTTGATATGGAGTCTCACTCTATCACCTGGGCTGGAGTACAATGGTGCGATCTCAGCTTACTGCAACCTCTGCCTCCCAGGTTCAAGTGATTCTTGTGCCTCAGGCTCCCAAGTAGCTGGGATTACAGGTGTCCACCACCATGCCTGGCTAATTTTTATATTTTTACTAGAGACGGGCTTTCTCCATGTTGGCTAGTCTGATCTCGAACTCCTGACCTCAGGTGATCTGCCTGCCTCAGCCTCGCAAAGACTGAGATTACAGGCATGAGCCACTGTGCCTGACCATTGTTTTTTTCTTTTTTAAAATTCAAGATGGAAGAGGTAGACTTTTTTTAATTGCTTAGAGACACATACTTTCAGTTTTAAAGTAAGGATTTGTCTCTGGAGTTTAAGTAGAACTGCAGTCAACTTATATGAAGAATTAGAAAAAGTAAGCCCTTCATGTTTTGTAAAACACATTTGCAGGCATCATCTCATTTGATCCCAGTGGAAGCCCTGTGAAATAGGCAAGGTTTGGACAACTTTCTTCATTTTATAGATGAGGAAATAAAGACTTAGGGTGGCCCTCTGAATAATTAAATGGAAAAGCAACATTTGATACCTACCAGGACTTCTGATTCCTAGTTCAGATCCCTTTTCACTCTCCAAAGAACATCATTCAATAGCTTGTGCTCTTGAGAGCTTTCATTGTTGGGGACACTTAGAAAAATTTAGATTTCTTCCTCTTCATTCATTCTCTCACCTTGATTTTTTGCATGCTTAAAAGTATTTTATTTCTCATGCATGTATTGCTTTAAAGAATTTAGTAGGGCCAGGCGCGGTGGCTCAAGCCTGTAATCCCAGCACTTTGGGAGGCCGAGGCGGGTGGATCACGAGGTCGAGAGATCGAGACCATCCTGGTCAACATAGTGAAACCCCGTCTCTACTAAAAATACAAAAAAAAAAAACTAGCTGGGCGTGGTGGCGCATGCCTGTAATCCCAGCTACTTAGGAGGCTGAGGCAGGAGAATTGCCTGAGCCCAGGAGGCGGAGGTTGTGGTGAGCCAAGATCGCGCCATTGCACTCCAGCCTGGGTAACAAGAGCGAAACTCCGTCTCAAAAAAAAAAAAAAAAAAAAGAATTTAGTAGTTGCAGGTACAGTGATACATGCTTGTAGTCACAGCTACTTGTGAGGCAGCTGAGGTGGGCAGATCACTTGAAGCCAAGAGTTCAAGGCTGCCGTATACTATGATTGCACCTGTGAGTAGCCACTGCACTCCAGCCAGGGCAACATACCAAGATCCTGTCTCGGCCAGGTGCAGTGGCTGACACCTGTAATCCTAGCACTTTGGGAGGCCGAGGTGGGTGAATCACTTCAGATCAGGAGTTCGAGACCAGCCTGGCCAGTATAGTGAAACCCCTTCATGCCTGTAATCCCGACACTTTGGGAGGCTGAGGCGAGCAGGTCACTTGAGATTAGGAGTTTGAGATCAGCCTGGCCAATATGGTGAAACGCTGTGTCTACCAAAAAATAAAAACAAAAAATTAGCCAGGTGTGGTGGCACGTGCCTATAATCCCAGCTACTTGGGAAGCTGAGGCAGGATAATTGCTTGAACCTGGGAGGTGGAGGTTGTAGTCAGCCGAGATCGTGCCATTGCACTCCAGTGTGGGCGACAGAGTGAGACTCTGTCTTAAGAAAAAAAAAAATCCCATCTTAAAAAAAAGGTTAAAGAATTCAGTAGTGGTTTAACTGAGGGTATGGCTTATGAAATGTATTGTATTTTGTAGATACCTATCTGGAAGCAACAGGCGAGACCTGGAGATGGACCTGTGATCTGGGTAAGACAGTTAATACAGAGAGTACTGAGGCATTATGACTTGTAACCTCTTGGTGTTCTGTATGTTTTGGTAAAGTGGAAGTGGCCTATGCAGTAGAGAAAGGCTGTGGTCATTATTAATAAATTGATCTTTTGAGAACAGTTGTTATTTGGTCTAAGGTGGAAATACTATAGGCATATTTTCTTTTAACTTTTTGTTTTGAAATTATTATAGGAATGATTTTAAATGGCAGATGTATTTGTGATCTCCTAGACTCTTATCCATTTAGTAGAGGAAGGAATTTTGGCAGCATGTAGTCTGGCTACAGGTTAGAATTATCCGGAGACTGTGTTAAAAATGTAGTTTTTGGCTGGGCGCGGTGGCTCATGCCTGTAATCCCAGAACTTTGGGGGGCCAAGGTGGATGGATCACTTGAGGCCAGGAGTTTCAGACCAGCCTGACCACCGTGGTGAAACCCCATCTCTAATAAAAATACAAAACTTAAGCCAGACACAGTGGCTCATGCTTGTAATCACAGCACTTTGGGAGGCTGAGGCAGGTGGATCATTTGAGGCCAGGAGTTCGAGACCAGTCTGGCCAATGTGGTAAAACCCCATCTCTGCTAAAAAAGTACAAAGATTAGCTGAGCGTGTTGGCATGCACCAGTAGTTCATTTACTTGGGAGGCTGAGGGAGGAGAATTGCTTGAACCCAGGCGGTGGAGGCTACAATGAGCTGAGATTGCACCACTGCACTCCAGCCTGGGTGACAGAGAGAGACCCAGTTTCAATAAATAAATGAACAAATAATGTAGTTTTCTGATTTAGTAAATCTAGAGAGGGGTTCAGTAGTTAGTGTTCTTGATGAACTCCCAGATGAACATGACTGGCATTTGAAAAATACAGATCATGGCTGGGCGCGGTGGCTCAAGCCTGTAATCCCAGCACTTTGGGAGGCTGAGGCGGGTGGATCACGAGGTCAAGAGATCGAGACCATCCTGGTCAACATGGTGAAACCCCGTCTCTACTAAAAATACAAAAAATTAGCTGGGCATGGTGGCACGTGCCTGTAATCCCAGCTACTCAGGAGGCTGAGGCAGGAGAATTGCCTGAACCCAGGAGGCGGAGGTTGCGGTGAGCCGAGATCGTGCCATTGCACTCCAGCCTGGGTAACAAGAGCGAAACTCCGTCTCAAAAAAAAAAAAAAAAAAAAAAAGAAGAAGAAAAATACAGATCTACTCCCACCCCTTTATGTTTCAGGGAGGAAATAAACACAGAAAAGCAAAGTGAGTAGCTCAGAGTTGCATAGTTGGTCAGTGGCAGAACTGGGTCTCAGACCTGGATCCTTTCCAGTACGAATCTACATGTCACCTTAACCCATTTCCCCTAAGAATGGAGGCCAGGGTTGGGCATGGTGGCTCACACCTCTAATCCCAGAACTTTGGGAGGCTGAGGCGGGCGGATCACCTGAGGTTAGGAGTTCGAGACCAGCCTGGTCAACATGGTAAAACCCCGTCTTTACTAAAAACTTGGGAGGCTGAGTCAGGAGAATTGGTTGAACCCGGGAGGTGGAGGTTGCAGTGAGCTGAGATCGAGCCATTGCACTCCAGCCTGGGCAAAAAGAGCAAAACTCCATCTCAAAAAAAAAGGAGTTTTTATGCTGATAAACATGAAAACAAAGTAAAACAACACTGATAAAATGTAACAAACTCCTAGTCTCTGGATATTTATTTAAAATTATGTATCATTTGTCTGGGTGCAGTGGCTCACACCTGTAATCTCAGCACTTTGGGAGGTCGAGGCAGGTGGATCATCTGAGGTCAGGAGTTTGAGACCAGCCTGGGCAATATGGTGAAACCCCATCTCTACTAAAAACACAAAAATGAGCTGGGTGCAGTGGCACGTGCCTGTAATCTCAGCTACTTGGGAGGCTGAGACAGGAGAATCACTTGAGCCCTAGAGGCGGAGGTTGCAGTGAGCCAAGATTGTGGCCATTGCACTCCTGCCTGGGTGACAGAGCGAGACTCCATCTCAAAAAAAAAAAAAATTATGTATCATTTGATTGGCCTTACTAATTTATTTAACGTATTTATTGAGTGTGTTTATATGCCAGGCAAAGAACAGATGAAAAACCCTGGCCTCATAGAGCTGACATTCTCAGTTCTGTTGCCAGCAGGTGATCTGCTGCTCTCACATGAAAGCCAAAGCCCCTCAGCTCTGGGGTTAGGAGCATGAGCTCTGGAATCAGGTGTACTAGTTTTAAGTCCCAGGCCTCTCATTGGTCAGCTGTGGGATCTGGACAGGTTATTGACCCTCTCTCTTCAATGTCTCCCTCTGGTCAGTGGAGTTGTGAGGCTTAAATGAGATAATGCACCAGAAGCCTTTTCCTGGTGTCTGCTACTGGTACTCAGGAAGAATTGGCAGTTACTGATAGCAGTGGTACCTAACCCCTGTTACGGATGGTCCGTGTGCACGAGAAGGCATCCCCGTTGCTAAATAGCTCAGCTGATTCTGAGTCATGGTCTTACGCCCTGTCCTAGGGAAACTTGGAGGGGAAGAACCTGTAGCCATGTCCCCCGTACACATCTCATGGCAGCACAAGTTGGGGAATCCTGTTGCAAGCAGTCTCCCCAACCCCTCTGGCAGATTTCTCTTTGCCTCACTGCTGTCCTGTTGTAGGGCATAGGTAGGCCTCACTGAGTGAGTGGAGACACTAGTGAGTAGAAGTGAGTAAAAGTCAAGAACACTAAATCCTGAACCACTTTCTAGATGTACTAAATCAGAAAACTGTATTTTTAATACAGTCTCTGAATAATTCTAATGTGTAGCCAGACTACATATTGCTGACATCCCTTCGTGTGCTAAATGGATAAGAGTCTAGGACATCACAAATGTATCTACCACAGTAGTCATTTAAAATCATTCCTATAATAATTTCAGGCCAGGCGCGGTGGCTCATGCCTGTAATCTCAGCACTTTGGGAGGCTGAGGCAGGCAGGTGGATCGCCTGAGGTCAGGAGTTTGAGACCAGCCTGATCAACATGGTGAAACCTCATCTCTATTAAAAATACAAAAATTAGCCAGGCGTGGTGGTAGGCTCTTATAGTCCCAGCTACTTGGGTACTCAAATAAATAAATAAATAAATAAATAAATAAATAAATAAATAAAATTAAAAAATTATTATAGGAATTATTTTTTTTTGAGATGGAGTCTCGCTGTATCATCTAGGATGGAGTGCAGTGCTGCTGTAACCTGTACCTCCTGGGTTCAAGCAATTCTCCTGCCTCAGCCTTCCAAGTAGCTGGGATTACAGGCATGTGCCACCATGCATAGCTAATTTTTGTATTTTTAGTAGAGATGGGGTTTTGCCATGTTGGCCAGGCTGATCTCAAACTCCTGACCTCAAGTGATCCATCTGCCTTGGCCTCCCGAAGTGCTGCGATGACAGGTGTAAGCCAATGCGTCTGTCCTCCTATAATAATTTCAAAACAAAAAGTTAAAAGAAAATATGCCTATAGGCCGGGCATGGTGGCTCACACCTATAATCCCAGCACTTTGTGAGGCCAAGGCAGGTGGATCATGAGATCAAGAGATCAAGACCATCCTGGTCAACATAGTGAAACCCCGTCTCGACTAAAAATACAGAAATTAGCTGGGCATGGTGGCACACGCTTGTAGTCCGAGCTACTCAGGAGGCTGAGGAGGGAGAATTGCTTGAACCTGGGAGGTGGAGGTTGTGGTGAGCCGAGATTGTGCCATTGCACTCCAGCCCGGGTAACAAGAGCAAAACTCCATCTCAGAAAAAAAAAAAAAAAAAAGAAAGAAAGAAAAGAAAATATGCCTATAGTACATCTGTCTTAGACCAAATAACATGGAGCAGATGGTGGCATCTGTAGGTCACATCCATGTTCCTAGCCCAGTCAGTATTTTCCCAGCAGCTTAAAAAAACTTTGATAGGAGGCTGGGCTTGGTGGCTCATGCCCGTAATCCCAGCACCTTGGGAGGCAGAGGCAGGCAGATCACTTGAGGCCAGGAGTTCGAGACCAGCCTGGTCAACATGGTGAAACCCCATCTCTACTAAAAATAGAAACATTAGCTAGGCGTGGTGGTGCTCGCCTGTAATCCCAGCTACTCGATAGGCTAAAGTGGGAAAATCGCTGGACCTACGAGGGGAAGGTTGCAGTGGGTCAGGATTATGCCACTGTACTCCAGCCTGGGTGACAGAGACTCTGTCTCAAATCAACAACAACAAACCTGTAGTATGCATTGGAAGATGTTAAGAGAGAAACAGAATTTGGGTAGGGCAGAGATTCTGGCAAGAGGTGGGAGAAGATAAAAAAATTGATTCATGGGAAGAATGCCTTTAGCTGGAGCTTGTGTGGTAGATAGAGGTAGAGAAGGTTGCTGCAGATAGAGGGGAATGACATGAGCAGACCCAGTGGGAGGAGTGGTGAACTGTCTTGGGGGCATGAAGGGTGGGATGCATCTGGGGAAGTCCAGAGATTAGGCATTCATTTTTGATTCTCTTTCTGTTTCGCTAAGATAGACTTAGAGCCAAAGGCAGCACTCAGGCTCTTAAAGGCACAACATCCCTAGTCTTAAGTGTTATTCCTACTTCATAGGGTTTGTATAGGGCTCAAGTAGAATGATATTTGAGAAAGAAAGTGCCTTTTAGCCGGGCGCGGTGGCTCAAGCCTGTAATCCCAGCACTTTGGGAGGCCGAGGCGGGTGGATCACAAGGTCGAGAGTTCGAGACCATCCTGGTCGACATGGTGAAACCCCGTCTCTACTAAAAATACAAAAAATCAGCTGGGCATGGTGGCGCGTGCCTGTAATCCCAGCTACTCATGAGGCTGAGGCAGGAGAATTGCCTGAACCCAGGAGGCGGAGGTTGCGGTGAGCCGAGATCGCGCCATTGCACTCCAGCCTGGGTAACAAGAGCGAAACTCCGTCTCAAAAAAAAAAAAAAAAAAAAAAAGAAAGTGCCTTTTAAACTCTGAAATATTGTAGAAATGTAAGATGGTATTACTAATGTTGCTAGATGGCTTTTATTTCACAGTGCTGTTCTCTGTGAGAGTGTTTTTCTTTGGAAGAACTCAGAGCATCACATGTGCTCATGTTCCTTCATCATGTCCTTTCAGCCCTTTGCTAGTATGAACATCCATGCTATGACAAAGCTGTGTGGGAGAAGCTGTCTTTTTCTTTCTCCCTTAGTGGCTAGATGAAGGCTTGGCTAACTTCTTTTTTTAAAAAATATTTTTTCCTTTCTTTTAGTTGCAAAAGTGGTTCCAAACCAGGAATTAAAGTCCTCCTTCTCCTCTCCAGGCTGACTCCAGAAGCCTCCTTTGTTATTAGTTTGGAAGAGATCCTGGCAGATGTTTTCCGCTGCATTCATATGCATGCAAATGTACTTCTGAATATGCACATGTGCCTTTACATACACACAACTTTTAACAAATAGCAGGGGGCGCTGGGCATGGTGGCTCACACCTGTAATTCCAGTAGTTTGGGAGGCTGTGGCAGGGGGATCACCAGAGGCCAGAAGTTGGAGACCAGCCTGGCCAAAATGGTGAAACCCTGTCTCTACGAAAAATACAAATACTAGCTGGGTGTGGTGGCAGGTGTCTGTAGTCCCAGCTGCTCGGGAGGCTGAGGCAGGAGAGTTGCTTGAACCTGGGAGGTGGAGGTTGCAGTGAGCTGAGGTGGTGCCACTGCACTCCAGCCTGGGCAGTAAAGCAAAACTCTGTCTCAATAAAAAAAAAAAAAAAAAAAAAACAGCAGGTGGGGCTGGGTGTGGTGGCTCACGCCTGTAATCTTAGCACTTTGGGAGACTGAGGCAGCTGGATCACCTGAGGTCAGGAGTTCAAAGACCAGTCTGGCCAACATGGTAAAACCCCATCTCTACTAAAAATATAAAAAAATAGCTGGGCATGGTGGCACATGCCTGTAGTCCCAGCTACTTGGGAGGCTGAGGCAGGAGAATTGCTTGAACATAGCAAACAGAGGTTGCAATGAGCCAAGATCACGCCATTGCACTCCAGCCTGGGTGACAGAGTGAGACTTTGTCTCAAATATATATATATGTTTCTAGAGGTAAAATTGCAGGGTCAGAGGGTGTGCATTTAATGTCTATGAACATTTCCATTATTTATTTAACCATTTCCCTGTCTGTTGGACCTTTAGTCTGTTTTCAGGGTACTGTGTTTGCTTTATTTTATTTTGCTATCATAAGGAGGGCTGTAGCAGTCTTATATCCATTTTAGTGATAATGTATGTGCATGAATACTGGGATATCATCATCATGAAGTAACCTGGGTTAACTTCAGCAATTTTTACTTCTAGGATTACCATGTCATTTTGCTTCATGTTTCAAGTGGAGGACAGAGCTTCATTTATGACCTCGATACTGTCTTGCCGTTTCCCTGCCCCTTTGACACTTATGTAGAAGATGCCTTTAAGTCTGATGAAGACATTCATCCACAGTTTAGGAGGTGAGGACATTCAGGATGGATTTACTTATTTTCTGAAGTAAGACCTTGACAATTCCAGAGGTTCTTTATTTTTGGCAATTGTTTTGTAAAAATCACTTGTCTGGCATTACCATTGAGTTGGTATTTAAGAATGATGTGCTTACAACACAGAAGATTCAAAATGTTTTAAAGCTTTAAAAGTTATCCATCGTATAAAAGGTTGACATTCTTTTACAAGTTTGTGTGATGAGATCTCAAACATTTATTTTCAGGCAGATTGGGGGTTTTTCTTATGCTGTTTTTGTTTGGGGTTTGGGGGAGATACTCATGCTGTCACCATTGAGAGGTCTGTGATGGCAGCAACAGAAAATCATGCCCCTTGCCCTTGATACACAAATCAAGTAAATCAAGGCAAACAGATATATTTTTGTGCCTTTGCCTTTCTGTTTCAGGTTTTAGTTGATCATTTCCTGTGCTTCTCTAATAGGTGGTAAAGTGGCCTATGTTATTAACCATACAGAAATGCATGAGTAGTTTTGTGCATATCATAGGAAATGAGTCCATATAAAAATTGAGTTAGAATTCAAAACATGACACCTCCCTAATGTGAGTGTATATTGATTTGTCTGCAGGAAATTTAGAGTGATCCGTGCAGATTCATATTTGAAGAACTTTGCTTCTGACCGATCTCACATGAAAGACTCCAGTGGGAATTGGAGAGAGCCTCCTCCACCATATCCCTGCATTGAGACTGGAGGTGAGCCAGGATGCCTTCTCAGAGGGGGGTTCTGATTGATCATGTACACATTAGCATTTTTCCTAAATGGAGAACAAAAGTCAGGTCATTCTTTGCATAAAACTCCATGAATAATAAGGAGTTAATAGGGAATACTGCTTCTGTGTTTGTATTAGATTCAGAAATAGGCCGGGTGCGGTGGCTTACGCCTGTAATCCCAACACTTTGGGAGGCCAAGCGAGTCAGGTGGATGACCTGAGGTCAGGAGTTCGAGACCAGTCTGACCAATGTGGTGAAATCCTGTCTCTAAAAAAAAAAAAAAAAGAAATCAGAGAATTGGACTAGAAGGCTTAAGAATTCATGGAATAGGAAGGATTTTTTTTTTTTTTTTTGAAACACAGTTTTGCTCTTGTTGCCCAGGCTGGGGTGCAATGGCACAATCTTGGCTGACTGCAATTTCTGCCTCCCGGGTTCAAGTGATTCTTCTGCCTTAGTCTCCCGAGTAGCTGGGATTAGAGGCATGCACCATCACGCCCGGCTAATTTTGTATTTTTAGTAGAGACGGAGTTTCTCCATGTTGGTCAGGCTGGTCTTGAATTCCTGACCTCAGGTGATCCACCTGCCTCAGCCTTCCGATGTGCTGGGATTACAGGCGGGAGCCACCGTGCCTGACCAGGCAGGGTGTTAAGAATCAGAACCAGGGCACCTGGAAACTGCTGGATGTAGCTACTGCTGGGGCACTGGACATCAGGAGACTCGCATGCTTGTGTCATTTAACAGTAGGAGTAGTAGCACTTTGCCATGGTAGGGTTTCGTGCTCTGGTGAAAGAAATCCCCATTGCATCCTTATGATGTGTGAAATGTCATTTCTTTGGCTATATAATCAAATCTGCATTAGACAGACATGAGCTTAGCTGGTTTTATTGTACCACTTGTCTCATTTTCCTGACATTTAAGAAGATAATAGGTTCTTTACCCTATTACTATGTTTGGCATTCGTATGACTTTGAAGCATTATTTACATTTGTAAGTAATTTACAACATTCCCACTTAGGGGTCTTGTCACCCAGGCAGGAGTGCAGTGTTGCAATCTTGGCTCACTGCAACCTGTGCCTCCCGGGTTCAAGCGATTCTCTTGCCTCAGCCTCCCAAGTAGCTGGGATTACAGGTACCCATCACCATACCCAGCTAATTTTTGTATCTTTAGACAGTGTTTCACCATGTTGGCCAGGCTAGTCTCAATCTCCTGACCTCATGATCTGCCTGCCTCAGGCTCCAAAGTGCTGGGATTACAGGCATGAGCCACGATGCCCAGCCTTGAGGAGGGATTTCTTACAGGAGGAGTCTTTTTGGCCTCATCTGTAGTTAGTTTATCAGGAGCCTTCTGCACTTGAAATTGAACCTAGAGGGACTCTACTCTGAAGCATGGGGTAAACATATTGGTTTCCCATGTAATAATTTAATCAAATTGTAATATTCTCTTATATGGTAAATTTGTTACTTCAAACGCTGTATTTATTGAAGGAATGTATTTAGAAGTTAGGGTAAGTGTGAATTACTTGTGGTCAATGAGTGGTGTTTTATTAAAAAAATAAGGAATTTAAAAAACAAACAAAAATGACTCAAGAAAACAGACTTTAGGCTGGGCATGGTGGCTCACGCCTGTAATCCCAGCATTTTGGGAAGCTGAGGTGGGTGATTAACTGAGGACAGTTTAAGACCAGCCTGGCCAACATGGTGAAAACCTGTCTCTACAAAAAATTAGCTGGGCATGGTGGCATGCACCTGTTAGTCCCAGCTACTTGGGAGGCTAAGGCAGGAGAATCACTTGAACTCGGGAGGCAGAGGTTGCAGTGAGCCGAGATTGTGCCACTGCACTCCAGCCTGGCAACAGAGCAAGACTCCTTCTCAAACAACAACAATAACAATAACAACAAACAAAAATTAGCCAGGTGTCGTGGTGCATGCCTGTAATCCCAGCTACCCAGGCGACTGAGGCAGGAGAATCACTTGAATCTGGGAGGTGGAGATTGCAGTGAGCTGTCTCAAAAAAAAGAAGACAATTTAAATTAGTGCATGTTTTAGATACATGCATTCATATAGCAGCCTTTGGGTTTAGTTATGAAATTGACTCTTTTTTTTTTTTTTTTTCAAGATAGGGACTCAGTATATTGCGTAGGTTGGTCTTGAACTCCTGGCCTCAAGCAGTCCTCCTACCTTGGCCTCCCAAAATACTGAGATTATAGGTGTGAGCCACCATGCTGGCCAGTATTAACTCTTTTTTTTTTTTGAGATGGAGTCTCATTCTCTTGCCCAGGCTGAGGTACAGTGTGAGCCACCATGCCTGGCTCAGAGCAGCCTTTCATTGAGGGCTGACTTAGCCCCCCTACTCTGACATGACCTTTCTGAGGACACTACTGAATGCTGCATGTTACAAGTTCTCTCCACTCTGGCTGGTGGTGACATGAATTATTTCTAGCCCTGTGAAAGTTCTGGGTGTTATTAGATCTACTCCTTCTTGGTGATTTTTTCCCCTGGCCTCTTGAAGTTTCATTCCATAGAAGAGAAGATCAATACTTAGCCAGAGACTCAGGGGAACCCCTCTGCTGATCGCTGGAGCTCTCACTCTCTGTGTAGTTCCCTCTTCTCTGATGTATGGTTTCTCTCAATTTGGGTGTGTGTGTTTTGTCACAATTGGATTGAAGTTACACATTCGAGGCAAGAAAACAACAGAAATGACATTGAGCCCTTATCCATTTGGATAATTTTACCTACTTTTGGTCTTCTGTGTTGTTTTTATTTCTGTTAGACTAAAAATTATGTTTTCAGTGGACATCTTTTTTCATATATCTTTCTAGATTCCAAAATGAACCTGAATGATTTCATCAGTATGGATCCCGAGGTAGGATGGGGCACTGTCTACACACTTTCTGAATTTACACATTGGTTTGGCAGTAAAAACTGCTGAAGTTGGCCTCAAGATGTGGAACTGTGGAGAAGTTCTAGGACATGAACATGCTATTCCTCCATTGAGGACAGCAAACACTAGGGTAGCGTTGGCTTGGAATTATGTCTTTCTTTTTTAATTCGATTGAGTGGAAACCTGAGTGAATACAAATATAAATGAACAACATAAAAACTTTTGTTTTGACATGTTAAATTGAAACTTGTTATAGTGTGTACTTGCTAAGATATTCCTGTGGCTTATTTGTTAAAACATGCGGACTTAAGTCAGTGATCATTTTTGTTCAGATAGAGGTGTGGAGGTTGAGCCAGCCCCTCATATCTGTCTGGATGTTTTGTGTCTCTCCAACTACAATGTAAGCTCCTTGAGGGCAGACCCATGGTCCATTGCTCTGTGAATCTCAAATGCCCATAAAAGGTGCCCATAAAATGTTTTCTTTTTTTTTTTTTAGGGAGACTCACAGACTAAAAATGTTTTTTTGAACATCTGAATGTGCTGTTTGGAAAGGGGTGATATTGTGAGCTGAATCAGCAATAAGTATTAGTCTTTTTGGACTATGGTATTGTTAAAAAGAGGGCAGCCCTCTCAGACTTGAGTGTTATTTGGCTTATTTATTTATGGCTTTAAATAAAATTGATTTAACATTGGTTTTGTTTTGAAGATTTTTGTGTCACCCTTGATGATCTGAAATACCTAAAAATACCTCAATTGTAGATGAGTACCAGGGCTTTAAAATATATTTATCACACGTGCCTTCCTGAAGACATTTTGGTCATTTGGCTTTAATCACATTCCAGATAAAAGATATTTGGCATTATACTGGTGTATAGTACCAGCTCTCATATTTTCATGATTCTGCTTTAAAAGTGAACAGCTTCTTACAGCAAGGTTGTCTGACCTTTTGTTCTTAGATGAGCTTTCTATTTATTAAGAGACGTGTCGGCTGGGTGTGGTGGCTCATGCCTGTAATTCCAGCACTTTGGGAGGCCAAGACAGATGGATCACGAGGTCAGGAGTTCGAGACCAGCCTGGCCAACATGGTGAAACACTGTCTAAAAATACAAAAATTAGCTGGGTATGGTGGTGGGCACCTGTAATCCCAGCTACTTGGGAGGCTGAGGCAAGAGAATTGCTTGAACCCGGGAGGCACAGGTTACAGTGAGCCAAGATTGCAACACTGCACTCCTGTCTGGGTGACAAGATTCCATCTCAAAAAAAAAAAAAAAAAAAAAGAATTTGTGGTGTTCCATATAGGGTGAGAGCCTCTGTGTCCTTGCACAGACTGCCCCCTAAGTATCTCACAGTTTTTGTGGAATTATTGCCCCTTCCAGAATGTTCACAAACCTCATGTTGGGATTCACTCAGGGTGGGTGGCAAAATATTAAGGGAAATACTAGGGAACAGTTATAATATATAGTCTCTAACCTTTTGGCAGGCCAAAAGGTTTTAATGAGATGGGCTGAAGAGAGCCAGTTCTTATGTTAGAATATTCAATCATAAGGTGTAAAGATTAAGATAATAGAAGCTTCCCCAGTTAAGTCTGTTTACCCCACATCCCTTTGTCTCTATTCTAGCTGTTTACTCATGTAAACTTTGTGCTGGATGGTCCTCTCAGGAGGCGGTCATTAATGGTGTTTATTCTAGGCCCCAGAACCAAAAGCTTTTATTCATAAAACTGCTCTTTAACCGTGTTAATTATCCACAAGCGTGTTGACTTAGAACCTCTGTTATTAAATCTCTACTGAATAAATGCTAAGAGGAACAAGGAGTCGTGGCCAGTTAGCTGCAATTGCCCTCTGAAAGCAGTTGATGACCATCCCTAGCCCACTCAACACTGTATTCAGTGTGTGTGAGTGCATTCATTCATCCGTTGCTAAGTCAAAGTCTGCAAGACATATCCGCAGGTGGTGATCAGCGTCTCAGGTAGTGACCTCAACGTCGTGCTTGTCACAACCTTGAACACAGATGTCTATCCAGTCCTGTTGTTTCACATGAGCTTCAGGAACCTTGTGGGAAAGAAGCCAAACGGTCTGTGATCCCATTTAGGGTTCAGACATGTATAGGCTTGTCCTATGGGCTAGAGGTCCTCAAAGATCTCTTTGCTAGAGGAGAGAAAAACTTGAACAGGTTCCTGAGAGAAAATCAATGTAAGTGAAGAGGAACTCGCTGAGAGGACCAGACTAGATGATTAGACTTTAAGGATTTCTTCCTGACAGGTGCAATGAGAGATGTGCCCTGGTGCACCCTTACCCCCACTCTCTTACTCTCTCGAAAGCCCTGTCTCCTGGTAATGAAAGAAAGAACTATGTCACTAGGGGACCCACATGGCTCTGTGGGAACTTTGTAAGTTGCTCCTAATGTTCTGTAGAACAGTGGGCAGCAATAGTCTGACTCAGTCTGGTATTTTGGTGGTTGACAGCAGTACAGGCCATGGCCAGAGGCTGGCTCAGCAGTGAAATAGAAGCATGATGCCTGCAGGGTGTGGTTTGGATTCTCTGTGAGTCCCCTTTTCATCAGGAGTTTGAAAGAGAGAATAACTTACGTAGGACTCTCAAACTGGTAGGGGCTTGGGTATATTCAGCATGTAGCAATTAACACTTTGATGACTTGCAGAAATTATGCTTATGGAGGATGCTTATTTAAAAGAGCTGGAGGGCCAGGTGTGACAGCTTATGCCTATAATCCCAGCACTTGGGAGGTTGAGGCAGGCAGATCACTTGAGGCCAGGAGTTCAAAACCTCTACTGTTGCTGTATTACTGCCCTGGTGATTCAGCAGTGAATCCTGCACTCACGGATGTTACATTCTTGTGGAGAAGACAATGAACTTCTACAGTATGTGGAAGATTGGTTGCTGTTTACTGATTTGGGGAAGATTGTGGGTAGAGTAATTTTGGGGAGGAAGATCAGGAGTTTTATTGGGGGCATGTTAAATTTGAGGTGCCAGTTGGGCATCTAAGAGGAGCTGTCAAATAGGAGTTGGTAGCTGGGTGTGGTGGTATGAGCCTATAATCCCAGCGACTCAGGAGGCTGAGGCATGAGAATTGCTTTAACTCGGGAGGCGGAGGTTGTAGTGAGCCTGAGATCATGCCACTACACTCCAGCCTGGGTGACAGGATGAGAGTCCATCTCGATCGATAGACAGATAGATAGATAGATAGATAGATAGATAGACAGACAGACAGACAGACAGACAGACATTTATGAGTTGGATAAAGGGGTCCAAGAGTCAGTGGAGAGGTGTAGGATGGGAGTATCAAATTGGGAGACATCCTTTAATAGATGGTATTTAAAGGTACAGGACTATGATAGCATTGAGAGAATGCGTGTGGATAGAGACAAGGTCCAGGGACCTAGCCTAAGGGAGCTTTTACATTTAGGGGTTAGGAGATGGGGTGGCATGAGCCACTGCACCCGGCCAAAATGTTTAAAAAAATCTTAAACACGATATAAATATTCTTTTGTATGCATTAGTTGGTGCAAAAGTAATTGCAGTTTTTGTCTACTTTCAAATTAAACCTATATTAAATATGTAATAAATCTATATTAAATACGTAATACAATTAAATTTAAAGAGCAAGTGGAAATGTGTACTAAAAGAGAAAAACATATATGTGTATTTGCTTATATTTGTACAGAATATCCACAGGAATATCTAGTATCCAGTACCAAATTGGCAATATTGGTTGTCTCTGAGAAGAGAGCTGGGTGGCTAGGGTCACAGGAGGGAGGGAAACTATTGTGGACCCTTTTGTGTTTTTTTGAGACGGAGGCTTGCTCTGTCGCCAGGCTGGAGTGCAGTGGCATGATCTCGGCTCACTGCAACCTCCGCCTCCTGGTTCAAGTGATTCTTCTACTTCAGCCTCCTGAGTAGCTGGGACTACAGGTGCACACCACCACGCCCAACTGATTTTTCTATTTTTAGTAGATAGAGGGTTTCACCATGTTGGCCAGAATGGTCTCGATCTCTTGACTTTGTGATCCACCCGCCTTGGCTGCCCAAAGTGCTGGGATTACAGGCGGTACCCGGTCCCCTTTTGTGTTTTTAAGGGTTGTGAGCCCTGTGAATATATTACTTATTAAGAGTAGAATTGGCTGGGCACGGTGGCTCACCCCTGTAATCCCAGCACTTTGGGAGGCTGAGGCGGGTGGATCACCTGAGGTCAGGAGTTTGAGACCAGTCTGACCAATATGGTGAAACTGCGTCTCTACTAAAAACACAAAATTTATCCAGGTGTGTTGGCATGCACTTGTAGACAGGAGAATCACTTGAACCCAGGAGGCGGAGGTGGCAGTGAGCTGAGATCACACCACTGTACTCCAACCAGGGCTGTAGAGTGAGACTGTTTCAAAAAAAAGAATAGAGTTAAAAATAAATAAATAAATAAATCACACTTTCCCTTACATATTTATTAACAACTTTTTTTTTTTTTTTTTTTTTTTTTTTTTTTTTTTTAAAGAAACAATGTCTTAGTATGTTGCCCAGGTTGGTCTAGAACTCCTGGACTCAAACAATCCTCCTGCCTCAGCCTCTCAAAGTGCTGGGACTACAGGCATAACCCACTGTGCCTGGCTAACTTTTTTTTCAAACCAATACAACTTAAAACAAGTATAGCCTCAGATGCTCTGTCTGGTCAAAGTTTCGTTGACCAAACTCAAGAAAAGCCAATAGAAATTATTTTCCTATTATACTGCTCTGAGCCTGTTTGTTCACCAGTTCTAATCCTTTGATTGGGCTACTGTGAGTGAAAGTGAGACCTTGAAATTGTGAGTCTAGGTGAAACCACTAAACAGCTAAGTAGCTGTCTGTGTGCTGCTCAGGGCTATGTTTCTGTGCCATATATAACATTAAGCTGCGATCTGGGTACAGAAATGCTCAGATAGTCCATGAGCTCATGCAAAGAGAGAAAACATTCTTAGCAGATGCATGAGACAGGAAAAACAGTTGGTGCTTTCACACTCAACACTCAATACTTTACCTCTGATATCAGTTGTGTGTGAGGTTTTCCTACATATCAGTCATTTCTAGACACCAGCCAGCTATTCTAGAATTCAATGCAATTCTGACACTGTCTACTTGGAGTTAGAGTCAGATCCCAAGGTAGGGAGCTCAGTTCCACAAGACTGTCCCCTACTCCCCTACTTGATATGTAAGTTGCAAGTAGTGGGTTGTCGCCTGCATTTCTGCTGTAAATCGGAGTTCCTCTGACCCCCTCTTCAGGTTCGATTAACTTGCTAGGACGGCTTATAGAATGCAGGGAAACATTTAACATTTACTCTTTTATTGTATTAATAAAGGCTCTGATAAAGGATCGAGGCTGGACGTGGTGGCTCACGCCTGTAATCCCAGCACTTTGGCAGGCTGAGTTTGGGAGATCACTGGAGCCCAGGAGTTCAAGAGCAGCCTAGGCAACACAGCAAAACCCCATTGCTATAGAAAATACAAAAACCAGGCCAGGTATGGTGGCTCATGCCTGTAATCCCAGCACTTTGGGAGTCCGAGGCAGGCAGATCACGAGGTCAGGAGTTCAAGACCAGCCTGGCCAACATGGCGAAACCCCATTTCTACTAAAAATACAAAAATTAGCTGGGCGTGGTGGCCGGTACTTGTGATCTCAGTTACTCTGGAGGCTTAGGCAGGAG